TTTACATTTGCAAATCAAAATATTTTAATTAAATACAGACAATGTTTTTACTAAAACAATTTTGGGACATTTTTTATAAAGTTCATCAATGCACTTTTTATCAATTACTGGTATATTAAATTGCAATTTTATAATTTTAAGCTTTGCTAGTAATGCAAGATTTTTAACTAGGTTCATATTAGTATTAACAATTTCAATGTTTATAAATTGGAGTCTTGGTAAATAAATATGAATATGTTCAAATGCATCAACGTCAAAATCCTTATTACTCAGCTTGATACTTAAATGTGTCAGGTGTTTACAATTATGTAGCATATTAACATTAAACGTACTATCTGTTTGAGCATAATTAATTATTTTCAATCGTTTAATATGTTGATAATTGTTGTTGATTACTTTGATACATTCTACATAATCTTGCATAATCTCATTCACAGCGTATATATTTAATGATAATCTTTTCAACTTGTTACATTTATCACCAACAATATTCAAATATTTAGCAAGCGAATTCTTTGAATGCTGAGTGTAGCCTGAATCGCTTAACAAGCAAATGCTAAAATCTATTAACCCTGTTATACGGGGCACCTCGGTCATAATATTTTTCATAAATTCCTCAGTACAATTATAAAATTGGTGATCAAATTTAATATGAAATGATTTAAGGGTTAATTTATAGTAGTCTATAATCAGACTAATTGTATCAAATTTATAAATATAACATGGTATTTCCATATTTTGTAGTTTTGGAAATAATAATTTACTTCCATGTATAGCCAGAAAGTAATTTAGTAGTACAGATCTTATCGGTGTTGGCATTAGTAGATATTGTTCGTGTAAAGATGTCGCAAGGTCCAATAAAAGTTATGTCAACGCGTTCCATAGTAATACTTCTAGTTCATATTACGGAATATATTTTAATTGAGCATGAAACTTGTCGAAAAAATTATGAATAATTTTGTCGTCCATATTGATACGGAAAACAATATTGACCTTGTTCAAATAATTGCAATAATTTATGATGGACTCCATAGTGGCATTAGTCATTAACTTATTGTACCCGGTGATTTCAATTTCGCAAATATAATGACACTTTTGTAATATTAATTCATATGTTTGCTCATTTAGGTTGTGTTTAAAGTTGTCGTTAATTATGAGTTCCGTTTGGGACTCATATACGACTCGTTGCCACTGTTTGGACACACATTCACATCGGAATCGGTCCTCAAATGATAGGTAACTCAATAGGACTTCACATAAATCATCGCCGAAACGGTCGGCCGAGTGTTTGCTGTAAATAACCGACATTTTTGGTACACTTTGTGAACATAAAATAATGTTATTATTTAACAATTATTTAAACAAAAATAACAAAACATAAATTATTGCAGCCACAATAGAAATGTATGTTGTCATAGTTTTTGCTACATGTGCACTAATACAGTAAACGTTTTATTATTTACAATAAAAGTTATCAAATAAGACAAGAACACAAAATTAATATAATTTAAAACAATTTTCTATATTTATTGAATTATTTTCTTATAGTCAAGATTTGTTCATTTATTTGTATTAAAAGCAAAAAATATATATTATTTTTAAATCATACCTCGTAAGTTATTTCAAAAATGTGTATACTGTAATGTTATGTAATGAGCATGCGTATTAAATAATAACCAAAACACCCTTATGCACTTTTGTTTGCAATGTTTATCAATATAAACAATGTTATCTCTATTTCAGAAGTGTTCAGGTGGGTAAGAGTGAGCATTATTACAGTACTTGTAATCATTTTATTAAAAACTAATCACAAATATCATAACACANCAGGTTATTTTCAATACAGTTGCGCAAGGTATCATTATGAAGATCAAGTATAATGCGAATATATTTTAATTGAGCATGAAACTTGTCGAAAAAATTATGAATAATTTTGTCGTCCATATTGATACGGAAAACAATATTGACCTTGTTCAAATAATATAACATTAATTAGGATTGACTCTAAAATGGTTTACCTGTAAAAAACATAAATAAATAATGTCTGGCCTACTCTGCTCTATTTATATGACACTTATATTTTGAAAGTAAATTACAGAAAAACTATTATTGTTTTAATAATTAAATTATTTGTGATTGAAATTTACCCTTTTTAAAATGTCATCAATGCCAAGTGATCGTGTAATCTGGTACGTTTTAAATAAACAATTAAATAATACTTACTAATTTAAAATACTTTCATATTATCATTTGTAATTATAAATAGGTCCATGGTCCTAATGTACCTTGTAAAATTTTTAGCTTTCATATTAAATACCATTGCAATTACCAGTGGATTAATAGGTTTAATATTACTATCGGCTCAAAATGCTAGTCCCAGTTATATTACCTGGCATAGTTTGACAATTATACTTGGTCTATGCGGTGTCTATGGTGCATACAAAGATCACCTTACTACATTATTTATTTGCGGTATCGGCGGACTAATACAATGTTTATTGGGAATTATCCTGGCTAATGTGCCTTTATATATACGACTGTTACAAATATTTTCATTCATAACTACCAACATATATGGCATGGTGATTTATAAATTAATTAATTAAATATAAAAATTACCATTCATAATTATCTGTATTTATTTAATAATACTCATATGAACAATTTATAATTTTGTAAATAAGCTTATAATTTGGTGTTTTATAAAATATTTTTAATTTAATAACTAGTAATTTTATTAATCACTAGTTGTATTGATAATAAAATCCAGCTTTTATTATACTTACTTGTTTGTATTTATTTTATAGTATAAATATGAACATGAAATAATTTTTTAATTAACAATTTGATTAATTGTTAATTTATTTTATAATTATTATTCTCATAATACATTATACATAATACATAAATTTAAATTGATTATTAATCAATTATTAATATGTATTATTATAATATAACATAAAAAGTCACTAATAGACAAATATAAGATGTTTAAACAAACCCCACAATTGTATTATTATTTTTATATAAATTATTTTAGCATTATTATATTTTTATTACGATTCAAAGCTGTTTAAATAAATTAATACTTTATAAAAGTTTTCATTTGGTTTATGTTAACCAAAATATGCTTATTTTTAATCAATAATATAATTCAATATGAATAAAATACTTACTTAAAATTTATTTTTTAATATTTTGTAAATTTCATTATAAAGTAATGTCATCTATGCCAAGTAATCACGTAATCTGGTAAGTTTCAAGTTGCACATTTAAATATTATAGTTCCTTCCTAATTTAAATTAACTTATTATTTATCGAAAAAAGGTTCATGCCCCTACTTTACTTGTTGAAATATTTAGTGTTAATATTAAATGCCATTGTAATCATCACTACATTAGTAGATTTAATATGCGACTATCGTGTTAATATCGGTTTTACGATCTGGTACATTTTCACAATTATATTTAGTGTACACAGTTGCTATGGTGCACTTAATAATGACGTTATTATGCTATTAATTAGCGGTATTGGCGGACTAATACAATGTTTAACGGCAATTATCATGGTTAATTTGCCTCACTATAAACAATTTCCATAAAAAATGTAATTTCTAACTACTAACCTATTTGGCTAGGTGTTTAATTTTAGTATATTTATTATAAGAATAATTAATTTAAAACTTTACCAAGATGTTAACAAACATATTTTATTATGGCATATCAAAAAAGTATTCTTACATTTGATACCTTGTTATAATATTTAATTTTAATTTTTGTATATCAATTTTTATGATAATATATAAATTGTATTTTAACATGTAGTCAATACAAACATTAAAATTCATTAATTTAAAAATTATTTTAAAATAAATTGCTAAAAATTGTATATTATTTAAACATGGCCTTTAATTATTTTTTAAAATTTACATATATCCCTGGTCATATCGACACCATATCCATGTTTAGTACAGTCGGGCAAACTATAGGTGGTGTTACCCTCTGTCACCTCTATCTTTCCGCAAACTTTTTCAAATGCCTGGCCGTCCTCAGGGCTACAGACTGTCTGTCCATTCAATAAAACAAATTAATTATAAAATTAAACTAAATTTATACTCAAACTGAAAAACTATTTTTTAGTTTGCATTTGACTTACCTTGTAATTTGCTTTAAAACAATCTAGCTCATTCCATAACAAGCAGCAATAATAACTCTCTGGTTTCAAAGTCTCAATTGGTCTAGGACATACATCCTCAAACATAGTGGCTATGCACACATTTGCATCACCAGGATCATTTAAATCAGTAACATATTGAGAGCGTCCTATTGAACTTGCATTTGATAAATAAACCAGCATGGTGATTATGCTCAATCTCATTGCGGACCACATGCTAAAAAATGTTGAATTAGTTTTCTTATTATTTATTATAAATTAGTCAAAAGTACCTGTATAATAAAATAATATTTATATAATATTTAGTGTAAGACTTGAAAGTTAAGTTATATTGATGCTGATCACATAAATAATTATTAAATCTATTTTATTATACCTAACTGCAATTTGTTTATATACCAAGTGTAGATTAATTAAGCTTATTATATCAATTCATTTCACTACTCCATATAAGGTAATAGAAATATTATTTTTACAAAATGAGCATGTGGTAAAACTTAATTCATAATATTGATTAGTAGTACTTTGATATCAAAGTGATGTATAACTTTTATAATGCGATAATTTACTTAATACCTAATACATACATAACCTATCAGCATGTACTAATCTAAAATAGCTACATCACATATTTACAATTATCTATTGCCATATATGGACAAAAATGTTCAAGCATATCACTTTTGTCAAATTCGTATAAGTATATAAATAATTTATTTTTTTTACAATAATAATATTTTTTTTTATTAATTGCCTTTAAAAATAATTATTAACATTTTAAATATACTATGAAAATCATATTAGTATTAACAGCTGTATGTATAGGTGTTACAGGGTTGCCCAAAAGTAGTGAGTTTACTGGTAAACGGTGGATAGTACTATGTTCCTCGTATGGTGGTTGGGATAATTATTTGTTCCAGGTAATCTTAAAAATATATTTTTGTACTAACTATAAATTCAACAATTAACTGTAAATAAAATTGTTATAATATCTAGGCAAATGTATACCACGCGTACCACATGTTCATAAACCATGGCATACCTGCGGAGAACATAATTATTATGCACACTGATGACCTAGCTAATAATAAGCTAAACCCCACACCAAACATTGTTATCAATAAGATCAATGGCCCTGATGTCTACCACGGTGTACCCAAGCATTATATCAAAAATGATGTTACTCCAAAGGTACTTGCTTATTAAATTATAATAAATTATTTAATTTAGCTATGTACAATATATTTCGTAGAACTTTTTAGGACTCCTTAAGGGAGACCCTGAGCTAAAAGCTGCCGGAAAACGAGTGGTAGAAAGTGGACCTGATGACCATATATTTGTTTATTTTACTGATCATGGTGGTCAAGGTACGTGAATAAATTATTAATTTTAACAATTTTCAATTTATTTTTGATATGGTATTAATATTACAATATATACAATTATTTGTGCTTGATAGGTTTTGTACGATTTGAGACCGAGTTACTTTATGCTACAGATTTAGTGAATGTACTTCAGAAAATGCACCAGGATAAGAGATATGCAAAAATGTTGTTTTATTTAGAGGCTTGTGAAGCAGGTACAATAGATATTAATTAAATCATAAAATAAGTATTTTAATATTTTATTATTTTACCAGGATCTATGTTTGATAAAGTATTACCAAATAATATTGATGTATACGCAGTGGCGTCATCTAAGCCTGATCAATTAAGTTGGCAATGTTGCTACGATTATCACCGTAAGGCTATGGTAGGTAATATAATTTAATATCAATTAATAGATTGAATAATAATAATAATTTCAATTAATTAATTGTAGGTGGTCACTTTAGTAATTACTGGTATATGGATAGTGAGATCAAAGATTTTAATACGGAAACTATCGAGACACAATTCAAATACCTAGCATCTCATAAACATATCCAGGGTCTAATTGTAGCAAATGGTACCCTGGAGGAGGCTCAACATTACGGAAATTTATCGATAGGTCAAATGCTACTAGCTGATTTTTTTGGTAACTACGAATATTAATAAAAATTATAATATTTTAGTATTATTAAATAAAAAATATTTAAAAATTAACACAGGTCCTAAACAGGTGTCAAATGCAACTATTGTACATAGGTCACATAATAAATGCGAGTACGTGTCCATGAATGACGTGGCAATAAAATTAGCCAAAATAAATGTTAAAACAGCAACGAGTGTTAGCGAGAAAATACGGTAATTTAAAAAAGACAAAATTAATTTCTATTAAATTAATTGTTTTTAAATCATTAGATATACCCATGAATTAAAACAAGTTTTATGGGGCCGACAGTATGCGGACAAACATTTGCGTCAATACCTACAGAGCATTGAGGGATTGACCGGATTGGGAGCTAATGTTATATTGAATACCAAACTTGAGGTCAATAATAGGGACTGTTATCACAAGTTTGTCCAAGCATTTAATGATAAGTGTTTTAATTTGGCACAGGTATGCTTGTATATATAAATATCTGATTTATTAGAATTTAATTTATTTAAAATTTTCATTAAACAGAATATATATTTAATCCGAAAAATGTATATTTTTGCCAATATTTGTGAGCTATTGACTGATACAATATTTTTGGACAAAACTATTGAGCGTATGGTTGAATATTGCAAACAAAATATTGTGCTGGGTATTCATATAAAATAAATTTAAATTAAGTATTCAAAACCATGTTCACAATATATATACATAAATTATTAATGCCTTTTAAAGTGCTAACAATAAAATTTTTATTAGTATTTGTTAATTTTGATTGTAAGTATAATATTAAAAATGTTAAATATTTTAAAAAACAAATTTATATTTGTTAGATTATATTTGTGTATTTATTATTATTATATCATTTCTTATTGTTTGTGTAATATCCGAGTCCCATTTAATTATGGTACGAGAAATATAATTTAACGATTGTGACTTACAATGCACATGTACTACTACAAATATTATGATATACAGTACAAGGTTTACAGTAAAAATACAAAATGAATATAACATATCGTTAATGTATTGAAAATAAATAAATAACATGTTGGCAATTATGAACAGTGTTGATATTGTGCAATATAAGCATTGTATTTTAAAAATAAATTTTTTAAAATTATTTTTACGAAATTGTCTCATAAATAGTCGGATTTGGAAGAGACATTCACAGCATATGGGCTCAACAATGGACTTCATTCGCAGCGCCTGTATGTCCACTATATGCAGGTATTTGGTGTACAACTCGTAGTATACGCTGAATAATGCAACAAACCAACCTAGTACATAAATATGATATGCTAGTTTAATTACTGCATATACATTATTATGATGGAGAATATGTTGACAGTCAATATTATGAAGATAACTAATAAATTTCTCGTCAAACATAGCGTAAGATATTAATCTCAATAGTGTTGTCATAGTAATTATTATTAACAATATTATAATCGGTTTCTTATTATATATTAAATTATTTTTTGTGTAATATTCGTCCAATTCTTGGTTCACTTCAATAATTAATTTTGATTTAAATTTCACATAAATATATGATAATAATATTATTATATTCTGTAAAATGAATATTAATTTATACGTGAATTGTATTGTGTTTTGCGATGAATGTAGAGAATCCACAAAATAAAGGATAATTCCGGTGAATGTAGAGATAAATAGTGCACTCAATGTGTGTTTAATGTAATAATTATGACAACATATTCCGTACGGAATCGTAAAGTATTCAAACATTTTGTGTAACAATATTGTAAGTAAATTATTTAATTATATGTTTTTATTTTCTACACAATATTTAGATGAACAAAAATTATTATACTTGTTGAAATAACTTTAAATAAATGTTTACTAGTAGTACAGCCGATATATTTTTAAAAATATATAGTTTCATAGCACTTAAGATTTATATTACACTTACATTTATATTTCAAGTACAATATTATGCCCTTTAATAATGCATAAAGCATTATATAAAAACTTGTATTTAGTTTTTAAGTTTTTTATTTGAAGTAGATCACATTTTATACATTATTAATGTTATTTATTTAAACATACTTTAAAACAAAAATATTCAATAATTCACTGTATGTATTGAAACCAGAAATTTAATTGAACACTATCATACACATTTATTATAAAAGTGTTTTAAAATCTAAAAATATTAAATCCAATTACTTTCATTACTATTACTGTTTGTCATTTGAATATTGATCATTTAAAAACAAATTAATATTTGTTTGATGACCATGACATATTTGAATAGTAAAATGATGAATATATTACCTGTCGGTATGTTTGATATCTAATATATTTCCATGAGTGCCATATCATATCTATAAAGATACATATTAGAAATCTTTTTTTATAATAAAATATTTTAATATATGCGCTATTCAGTCAATATTACAATAGTTTATGCATGTATATATGACTACAGTATTGCATATTTCATAATGCTCTGGGCATTTCATAAATTGGTTTTAACTGTCTTGAGTAAATATCACATATTATTGCGTAACCTAATGCAATAAATAGCTTATAGTAAAGTATTCACTTAAGTATATATTTAGAGCCATGTATATTACTAATTTGCAGTATTTTCTTACACTAATAAAACACATATTCACAAAGTGATTTTACAAATGGCAATAAACTTAACTTATAATATAACTATATTGAAGTATCATGCTGTGCACGAAAATGCTTAATTAATAAATAGCATAACGTGTAGACTTCTAAATAAAAATATCTACTTGCACAAATCATTATTACATTAATTTCTTATAATATACGATAAATGCAAACATTACGTATCAATGAACTGAAGGATTAGATGATTAGCTACACAAAAATTTGTCCTAGTGTACTATCATGTACTATACTGTATAATATCATGTATAATACTATACTGTATTATGTCACAAATTACTGTTTTAATTTGGCAGAGGTATGTTTGTGCATAGAGTATTAACATCTAATTTATTAGAATTTAATTTATTTAAAATTTTCATTAAACAAAATATATGCTTAATCCAAAAAATGTATATTTTTGCCAATATTTGTGAGTTATTGACTGATATTATAGTTATGGACAAAACTATTGGGCGAATGGTTCAATATTGTGCTGGATATTCAAATAAAATAAATTTTAATTAAGTATTAAAAACCATGATCACAATATATATATAAATTATTAATGCCTTTTAAAGTGCTAGTAATAACATATTTATTAGTATTTGTTAATTTTGATTACATACATAATTAAAATAAAATTTTATAATTTACGGCATATATAATTCTGTGTAAAACTTTTAATTTCTACTAATAGTAGAATTAATTTAGTAATTTTAATTAGTATAATTAACACGGAAATAATTTGAAATAGCTTGATTTAAACTTTAAATACAAGAATTTCAAATTCACCAGTGTGATACATTTCACCACCATTGTACATGTACCACATAAGCCCACTTTGCTTAACATGCATTTTACCGGCTACCCATTCACCACTAACATTAGCACGGGTAATGTAGGTCTCACCCTCTAGACCGTAAGGGTAGCTTTTATCGCCTGGGTGCTCTTGACCACCATATAAAGCGCCGTTAGGTACACCACTACTAGTATATTTTGACCAGCTCAAATTTTCTGGGCATGAATTAGTTAGCACTTCATAAACCGAGTTTTTAAATTCAACACCACCTACACTGCCATGACATATATTTTCAGCAGGATCAATCTGGATTGACAATATGATGTTGATTATAAATTTTTGTATTCATTAAAAAATAAGTTATAACCAGGTACCTTTCCAGGTAGTAAATTTGATGTTTGTTTTATACGACAAATGTATACTGTTTTCCCGTTAATCTTATGGCCATACGATACGCGCTGTTCAATAGGTATTTGTGAGATAGGTCGTTTTTGCCATACCGGTAATGATTGCTTGACACCTAAATGTACCAGTATAAACTTTAAATAATGCAATTTATTTCAAAATATATTATTACTTTCAGATAGTGGTTTGTGATTTACAAGATTTAATGTAACAGTAATATTTGTGCATGGTGTAGTTGTATGTGGTTTGGGCAGTGGTGTTATCATATCCATCATGGCCATTTGCTCATCAGTTATATTTTGTTTGGACTTAACTAAATCATGGTCATTATTGTGAGCAGGCTAAATTTTAAATAAAATATAACGAACATTATGTTAATTTTTATTTAAGTATAGGTGAGATATTTTTTATACCTGCTCAATGGGAATGGTAGTTGTGTCATATTTAGCAGTTGTAATTTCTATAATAAGTCATATAATTTATTTAAAGTAATTAAAAATTTATTATACCTTGTTTATTCGGTTGATCATTGATATACACCGCTGAACTAAAATATAAAATTATTTTATTTAAAAAATTTTAAACAATCACAAACTTACTTATCAGTGTGCTTTCCATAGCAAACTGCAAAGGTAAATACAATAATTAATAAATTCATATTATAACTTTCTATGTACTGTTCAAATCAATAAAATTTAAAATATAATTATCTAGTTATTTGAATTGATTTATATGTATTAATATAGTATAACATAATTAGTTACTAATAATGAACTACAGTATAAGCTGTGTAATCAGACTTTACAATCACATCATTATAGATAATTTAATTTAAATTATATGGGGGAATACAATATTGTTGTTTCCGGCTATAATTTAAATTTCTCCGGAGTGGCTTAATATTTTCAAAAGCGGTTTGTTTTATTGAATAGCCTAATAATGTGATGATTTTGGGCACAAAAAATAATTTATTAATTTTAACGTTTTCTACGAAATCTCGGGACCATCTCCGGGACACGTTTTCCGGTCACTTC